TATTGACCTCCGAGGACGCGTTAACGCATAACCTCTATAAACATACTGAAAAGTCAGGTTCTAAACCAACAAAGGTGATCCGCGTCGACAGAAGGGCAGATAACCGAGCTGTTTATTGGAAACGGCCCAAACCTTGTTTGTGAGCAGCCTCTGAGAAGCCATAACCAGGCAAAGAAGGAACAATGACCTCGAAGATATCATCCTCGGTCCCTCCATGACGGGTAGGGTCGATCAGCATGGGAATTATCTTAACAATGGAAGATGAGAAAACATAATCATAATTTCGAGCTTTATGTATTGGGAAAGTAACATGTGAAGGGATAATAAAGGACAGTCAGTGACGGGCTTCTCAAAGTGACTAGTGTTAAGATTGCTGCAGTGGGTCAGTTCGATATTTCAACAGCGCATGCCCAAAATGAAGCGCGTCCAAGGTCATTCGCGAACAACAATAAGCGTGCGCAAAGTCTGCCTTGTCAGTGCGCTGACGAATGCTCTATTCTCGAACGACCTTGCCTTTTAGAAATGCCGCATTCGCTCATGAGAACAGACAAACGGAGACGCACAAAACCGCATCAGTTATTAAATAAATCTCCGATGGTTTACACAGCCCCTCTGATTAATTTAACTGGGAAGGGTCGTTTTGGTTCATTTCGAAATTAATAAATATGTTGAAACTGTCTCTGTTTTACCTTGTAGAACTCGTAGAAGGAACTCGGCCAGCCGTGGACCATTAGAATGGGCTTAGCCTTCTGTCCCACGTTCAGTCTCGGCACGGCTCGCACGAAGTGGATGTCGATTCCCTCGATTTTTGTCTTGTAACTTTGATACTGGTTCAGCTCTTGCTCTTTTTTGCGCCAGCTGTTGAATTGAAATGAATTTTTTTTTAGAATACTTTGGAGTAAAATCAATGTGCACCTTTCCTGGATGAAACTGCCGAATAAAATGAACATCGGTTTATTTATGTAAGAAAGTGGAGAAAAGCCTTAAAACTTGAACCAATTAAGAGCAAAGGACTAGCTATATTGCTCGCTTGGTTGTTTTGTTTCCTTTTTACGCGAAATTTAAAAAATTGGAAGTGCTAATGCCTTGTTAGGACATAAGATGCAGNCTGGTATGCGTTACTAGCGTGTCCATGGTGTCTCCGAGGCTCTTTTTACTTTAGTTACAGCGAACGTACAAAAAGTTTACGCGAGCCTATCCCAGTGATACAAAGCTATATTGACCTCCTCTATAAACATACTGAACAGTCAGGTTCTAAACCAACAAAGGTGATCGACAGAAGGGCAGATAACCGAGCTGTTGATTGGAAACGGCCCATACCTTGTTTGTGAGCAGCCTCTGAGAAGCCATAACCAGGCAAAGAAGGAACGATGACCTCGAAGATATCATCCTCAGTCCCTCCATGACGGGTAGGGTCGATCAGCATGGGAATTATCTCAACAATGGAAGATGAAAAAACATAATCATAATTTCGAGCTTTATGTATTGGGAAAGTAGCATGTGAAGGGATCATAAAGCACAGTCAGTGACGGGCATCTCAAAGTGACAAGTGTTAAGATTGCTGCAGTGGGTCAGTTCGATATTTCAATAGCGCATGCCCCAAATGAAGCGAGTCCAAGGTCATTCGCCAACAACAATAAGCGTGCGCAAAGTCTGCCTTGTCAGTGCGCTGACGAATGCTCTCTTCTCGAATGACCTTGCCTTTTAGAAATACCGCATTCGCTCATGAGAACAGACAAACGGAGACGCACAAAACCGCATAAGTTATTAAATAAATCTCCGATGATTTACACAGCCCCTCTGATTAATTTAACTGGGAAGGGTCATTTTGGTTCATTTCGAAATATGTTGAGACTGTCTCCATTTTACCTTATAGAACTCGTAGAAGGAACTCGGCCAGCCGTGGACCATTAGAATGGGCTTAGCCTTCTGTCCCACTTTCAGTCTCGGCACAGCTCGCACGAAGTGGATGTCGATTCCCTCGATTTTTGTCTTGTAACTTTGATACTGGTTCAGCTCTTGCTCTTTTTTGCGCCAGCTGTTAAATTGAAATGAATTTTTTTGTTTAGAATACTTTGGAGTAAAATCAATGTGCACCTTTCCTGGATGAAACTGCCGAATAAAATGAACATCGGTTTATTTGTGTAAGAAAGTGGAGAAAATCCTTAAAACCTTGAGCCAATTAAGAGCAAAGGACTGGCAATATTGCTCGCTTGGTTGGTTGTTTTGTTTCCTTTTTACACGAAATTTAAAAATTGAAAGTGCTAATGACTTGTTAGGACATAAGATGCAC